CACTAGGTGAGTATATCGACAATCACGTGACCACTAGGTGAGTATATCGACAATCACGTGACCACTAGGTGAGTATATCGACAATCACGTGACCACTAGGTGAGTATATTGACTGTCACGTGGCCACTAGGTGAGTATATCGACAGTCACGTGACCACTAGGTGAGTATATTGACAGTCACGTGGCCACTAGGTGAGTATATTGACAGTCACGTGACCACTAGGTGAGTATATTGACAGTCACGTGGCCACTAGGTGAGTATACCCCCACCTACGTGTCACAGGAGACCAATGACACGCCAGCGCCACTAGGACAAAAGGACGTAACTCAATTCCCGACCTTGTCTGCTACTTCCCCACACAATGTAAGTGAGCCACACAACCTCCCGCCAGCTGGGGATTCAATCACGCCCTACTAGACCCACGGATCCTCCACGAGGGAAGGTCGTAACTGGATTCACGGTGTCGTCTGCTAATTCCACACTCAAAGGAAGACGCGGTGACAAATAACGAAAGGTCGTAACTCGATTCTTGGCCTCACTTTCACACAATGCAAGACACAGTGACACAAAAGCTGAAACAACGAGACACGCCCCCTTCTCCCTCTACAGCGGCACGCCCACAAAAAGACGTAACTCAATTCACGTCGACGCCCTGTTCAACACAAGAGAATACAACATCACAAAAATGCTGAACACGAGAAGTAAGCCCTTTTAATCCACAAAATGACGTCAGTCGATTCACTGCCTCCTCTGTGACTACCACACACTACGTGACGTCACTGACTACCACACACTACGTGACGTCACTGACTACCACACACTACGTGACGTCACTGACTACCACACACTACGTGACGTCACTGACTACCACACACACACTACGTGACGTCACTGACTACCACACACACACACACTACGTGACGTCACTGACTACCACATACTACGTGACGTCACTGACTACCACACACACACACTACGTGACGTCACTGACTACCAAACACTACGTGACGTCACTGACTACCACATTACTACGTGACGTCACTGACTACCACACACACACTACGTGACGTCACTGACTACCACACACTACGTAACGTCACTGACTACCACATACACACTACGTGACGTCACTGACTACCACACACACACACACACACACACACACACACACACACACACACACACACAC